TTTGTAGACCAGAAGAGCAACGAGAATCATCGCACGTTGGCACAGCGAGAACCGGCGCGGTACCTCTGGCAGGACGCACCGAAGATTTCTGTTCCAATTTTTTCTATTCGAAAACATACCCAAAACCGAACCGGAACCGGAACCGGAGTTATTGATTATGGGACGATGTGTGTTGTTGATCAGCGATTTTTTTTTTTGTTTTTATTGACAAAATGAATCCATGGCGTCACCAGCGAAGTCTATACCTGTATTTCCACGATTTTTCTTCTTTTTTTTTGTCTCTTGAGGAGGAAGGGTAGGAAGTCCTGTCTGTGTTGTTTATTGTGGGACGATCGATGTGTGTGAGCAGCATTTTATTTCTACTTGGGGTTTTGAGCAGGAAAATCTGTGTGGTGGATGTTGATTTCTAATGGCTTGCGGGCCCTCCTGGTCAATTTTATTTTGAGGGGCATACCTTGCAGGGTTAGGAGATCGGTTGTAAATGTAAGTCTGACTCTTGGCTGTTCGTAGACATGTAGTGATCTGTTTTAGCTTTATTGTTCGTACCGTACCGTAGGTTGCATGACGTTAGATACCACACCCCCTGGGCCGATTTTCAAAGCTCGACCATCGTCGACGATGAGGATGCCGAAATCAACCGACGGATGTGCTCTCGGGAAGCTCTGCAGGCGAGACAGCGGTTCCAATGCCGCCATTTCCGGCACCTGTCACCGCTTTTCCCGCCGAGTAGTCGAGCTCTGAAAAAATCGATCAAGGGTGTGTGATATTTTACGCAACCTACGGTAGGGGGCGTCACACCACACCAAGTAGCGTTTGCGCTCGCTGCCATATCGTCACTGCCACCAATGAGGCGATGGCGGTGGAAACTCCCCACAACCAACCCCGCTTGGATAAAAAAGGTATTATTGTCGGTGGCGGTGGTGGTGCTCAACAACACCCACGGCGGCAGACGATCGATACGCACGACTTTGACTTGAGTCTTGTGCTGCCCTCACGCAGAAAGTTATTTGTTGCGGCTTTTCGTAGAGCATCGTTGTCTGATGCAGTTTTCCCTATTGAGTGCGGTGGGATTGACGCTCATCCCCATTTTGTGTGAGAACGGAATGCTTGTATTCTTCCGGAGCGAGGAAAGTTTTTACAATTTGTTTTATTGTCTTGCGTGTAACCTTTTTGCGTCCTGTTCTTGCTCATGGGTGCATCTCTACCAATCATTTGGTGTAGGCAAGAAAGCTTTCCCTTGTTTTGGGTGTATCTTTATTTTGTCCCGTTTGCCCATACGTGCATCTGGACAATTCATCTTGTGTTGTAGGCCAAGGAAGTGTTTTTCTGCTTCTTTCTTCGGTGTAATTTTTGTGCCTCCCGTTTGCCCATCTACCTGGTAATTCGAAGCAAATATCGACAATCAGTTTTTGTACAACAGGCCGAGCGAAGTGTCTCATCTTAGTACAGTGGGGGTCTCGGTTTAGCGACCCCCTGTTTAGCGACATGCCCTGTTTAGCAACCACAAAAGCACGTGGCACCGCCGCACCCCGGTAGTTTATCTGCCACGAATGATGGTTATTTTGGGTCTAGCGACCTGCCCTGAATATCGGCCACATTTCTTGGCGACAGTACGGGGGTCGGCTAAACCGGGGCCCCCACTGTATGTTGTCTTGGGTGCAATGTATCTCGTCCCGTTTACAAACACGCCGAGGGTGTTCATCTCGTCGGAGTCTTTGCAGCAGCACACAAGACGTGGCCATCGCTTAAGATGCTGTAGGAACTGACCTCCACGGGCTCTCCCGACGGGGTCGTTTTTTTCTTTCTCTCGAGAGGCTCGCTTCTTTGTTTCTGAGTTGGGCTATCCCACCAGCGAGTGCAACGACATTGGAGTCAGGTTTCCATACTTGAGCACAAAGCTACTGTAGGTCAAGCTCTCCTATCTCTTCGTTTAGCCTGCCTTTTTTGTGTTTGTTTCTGAGTTGGGCGAACCCTCCAACCATCAGCGACTGCTGCGATAATTGGTGTCAGGTTTCCTTACTTGAGCACAAGGTAAATGGGTCGAGTTTATTCGATATACTCGTAGCATAGCATGGGGGTGGTATATTGCGTATACATATGCGGGGATTGCAGTGACGAACTACGGAGGGACAAGAAGTTTCTTTGTGTTTTCCTTGGGAGTAGTAGATTGGTGGAGATTCATGGAGATTCGTTCTGGGTATTAAAGCGTTATGCGTGACTTGATGCCGTGATGGAATGACGAGCTCAAGCACGCCCCCGATGAATACAACACGTTTTTCACCACGTCTACACGTCTTTACCTACCCGTGCGGCCCGTCATGGCCGAGCTGCTCTACGCTCCCATCACACACAACTGAGCCACCCGAATTATCGATCACGCTAGTTTGGAGTATCGCTTTGCGGCGATCAGCAGCAGCCACCGATGAGCGACACCGAGCAAGATCGAGTGAGCGCCCGACTAGCAGAGGAGGAAGCCCGGATCAACTACTTGGTCGAACAGAGGGTAGAAGCAAGACTGGCCGAGATGTCGAGGCAAGAAGCAGAGGAGCGGAGGACAGATGACGTCCGGACCGGAAGAGAGCACGAGGATCGCCACCAGCAACACGCGGGGCGGCCATCGGCCAACCCGACGACCGACGAAATCGCCCGCACACTCGCCGACGCCCTCACCGGTCGACTTCACGTCTCATCAGGGGACATGGGTAGAGTACCCATTAACGCAGGGACGGTTCGAATGACTGAGACTAAGCGCCTAGCGCCTTGGGATGGTGTTTTCAAGCAAGGGGAGGATGAGCAGGCTAAGTTTTTGATTTTTCGATCGAACATGGTAGCTATGTTTGCCCAGGAAGGAGTGCGTGACGTAGTACTGACTGAAGAAAAAATTCCAGTTGGGAAAGAAGGCGTGAGCATGGAGGAGATGCGTAGGGTGCATTCGAGTGGACGGGTAGAAAAGGCAATAACGGCGTGGAACCTGCTGATCACGACAGTGACATACATGCCAATCCTAACCCAGATCATCGCCGATGGGAGTCCTAGTGGAGGTTGGAAGATATTCCTCAATTATTACGAGCCGCGTGCCAGGGCCGAAAAAGAAAGGCTGTCATCTCAATATCACGCTCTTGAGATGAAAGTAGGGGAGACCCCGCAAGAGTACTTCGGGAGATTTGCTGTTTTGCGCAGTAAGCTCGCCTCGCACGGTGTTGTTTTCTCCGACGATGATGCCAATGCCCACATGGTATACCACCTTTCCGACGAGTACTCGGTAGAGAAGAAGATTCTGACCATGTCACCGATTCCCCCCTCGCGCGAGACAATTGAAAAGGCTGTGCGAGATGCTCATGCGGACTCGGTTCGCCGTCGGGAGGGGGAACCGAAGAATGGCGCGGGGCACGCGTTCGTCGCTTCCGGTGGCATCCGGGGCGATGGACGTGTCCAACATGGGTCGAGTGGAAACGGCGGGGGTCAGGACGTAGACGGAGGCGCCCGGAGTCGGAGCAGGAGCAGGGTGAGAGGAAACAAGAAAGGCGGAGGTGAGAGAGGAGCCGACAACGACCACTGCTACCTACATCCGCGCTTGTTCCACACCAACGCCCAGTGCTACACCCAGCGCGACCGTCGGAAGGAGCAGGAGCAGCAGCAGCCCCAACAGCAGCAGTCTCAGCAACAGCAACCCCAACAGCAGCAGTCTCAGCAACAGCAGCCTCAGCAACAGCAGCCTCAGCAACAGCAACTTCACGGACCGCCGCCGCAGCAGCCGAGCTACAGTGGGGGGGGCTGGGGCGGTGGGCCTCAGCACGGACCTCACAGCGGCTACGGAGGACAGCATCAGCACAGGTATGCAGCGCCCCCTCGTCCTCCACAACCGCCTTGGCGGCCTCCGTACGGGCACGCTAATGTGATGCACGCGTATAGTGCTATGCCCTACGGGGGGCCCGCGAATGGTACCGAGTATGGCGGGTGGGAGCAGCAGCAGCAGCAGCAGCAGCCTTCGCCAGACTACTACCAGCAGCAGCCGTACTACCCGCCTCCGACACCGTACTACCAGCAGCAGCAGCCACCATCGCAGCCTCCGCCACCGCCGTCGTTTCAGCCGCAGCAGCAGCAGCACTCCACCCATGCCCCGCCCCAGTCGCCCTCTCCCGGAGCAGCAACCTATCCGCCTGGGCATCTCCACTCCCTGATGGCACACTTTGTGTCCGCTGACGAGATGAGTTCGCTTTCGGTTTCGAGTGATGTAAGCAGTGTCGCATGTGGTGATGATCTTGGCTTTGCTTTGTCTGCACAGAGTTGCGAATACAGTCCTGGTAGGGAGGTATTTTGGTCTGATAGCGGTGCAAGCAACCATTTTGTGAGTAACAGCTCCAAGATGTACAACATCTCGCCTGTCCCCCCCGGCAAAGAATTCATCAAAGTAGGCAATGGTGCTTATTTGCGCGTGGAGTGCGTAGGTAGTGTCAATCTGGCATTTCACATGGCAGGAGGTCGATCGGGGGAAGCGGATTTCTGTGTCCAATTGACAGACGTGTACGTAGTACCAGGGATTTCGTTCAACTTGTTCTCTCTGCACCACACGCAGAAAAAGCACAGGATAATGTTGGATGAGAGGGGTGTGCACCTTTTCGGTGGTCGGCTTAGTTTCGCATATTCGGATATCGGATGCTCTCTATCGGCCACCCGCTTGCCTCCCTCGTACCGCGACGGTGATGTAATCCCCTCTACCGTTGTCCCTCCCCCCGTTGTCCGCCAAGCGTCTCCGCCTGGTGTTGGTACTGGCCTTTTTGCGCAAAACCCCCCTCCCCCTTCTCAGATTTCAGGATCGGGTGCAGGATGCGGTCCGAGTTCCAGCTTCCCGTCCATCGGTCCCGCCGGTGTTGTACCTTCGGCTTCGAGCTTCCCGTCCATCGGTCCCGCCGGTGTTGTACCTTCGGCTTCGAGCTTCCCGCCACATCGGCGCTGCCGGTGTCGTACCTTCGAGTTCGAGCATCCCGTCCACCACTTCCGGTGTAGTACCTCCGAGTGATGCTTCCCCGCCTATCGATGTTGATTTAGTGTCTCCGTCGATCCGAGATTTTCAGCCTGCCCTAGCCGCAGCCATCGCCTCATCCGACGTCCTGTCCCCCTCAGTCGTGAACCCGAATGTGTCGCGAGAGATAGAGATCATGCCCCTTGAGTCCCAGGATAATTTGCCTTTGATGGACATGAGTATGTTCTTGGATGTAGGCTTGATGAACGGACAGGACTCGGTCCCGCCGGGTGACTTTTATCCCGACCCATTAGGCGTATGTGAGTCCGTGAAGCCCCCCGTTGCGTTCGCTGTGATGCAAGATGAGTTGGACGTGCTCAGAGACTTTGTTGTCGAGTGCCGTGTGAAGCAAGATGTAGGTCCCCCCTCCCTTTCCCATGCTTTGGCGATTATCGCCCCCGGTGGTCCAGCGTTCACTGTAGGAAAACCCACGTCCACCATCGACATTAATTTGTTCCACGCTTCCACCGGCCACGTGAATGAATTCTTGATGAGGGAAACCGCAAAGCAGCAGGGTGTTCAATTGGTGGGGGAACTGCAGCCATGCGTCGGCTGCATCGAGGCGAAGGGCAGGAGGGCAACCCGGCCTGGATGTCGCCGTTCGAGGCCTTCTTCGGACGTAAACCGCCGCTCAACGTCGTCCCTTTTTTCCAGGAGGGGATGATGCGCGTGAAGCGCGCCAGCAAGGCGGACGTCCAATCCGTGCGTTGCTTCTACATGCACGGAGCGCGCAACCACTCCGCCGCCACTGCCGTCGTTCTCCGCGCCGACACCGGAAGGATCTGCCTGTCCAACAACGTCGTGTGGATCAACCGCCGCACCGCCGTGCCGGCGCCGGTACCGGCCAGCGGGGGGGGCTCTTCGGTCACCGCGGCGCCCTCGCCGGCCGCCGCCGTTCCTGCAGCCGCTGCCGCACCGCCACCGCCATGGGCATCGCGGACGTACACCTACACCCCGCCCACAGCGACCACCGCTTCGCCGCCGCCCACTTCTCCGTCGATCTTCACAGGGTCCGGAGCCGCGTCGCCGATCTCCACGGCGTCTTCGAGTGCACCGCCGTCCACCGCAGCCACGCCGCCCCGTCCACCGCCGACACCCCCGCCCGCAAGCGCCGCCGCTCCCGCTCACCCGCCGCTTTCACAGCGAGCGGTCAGAGAATTGGGCGAGAAGGAAACCAGAGTGCATGGCCGTACGCGCGGCGACCGAGTGCGCTTCATGGATGAGCAACAGCAACCGCCGTCGCCGTCAGGTGGCGGCACCGCTCTCCAACACCGCCTTGGGCTGCTGTCGATGATGGGCAAGGATGCGCTCGTCTCGTCGCTCGCCACCCGGGAGGCCGTCGATCAAGGACGTCGAGACCTGCCACCGTCCGCCAGC